TTTGGACAATCTATTTGATTGGCCAAATTAGATATCTGACTTACATCTTGCCTATAAGTCACCTTCCATAACCTAAAAATTTCATAATAAAATTATAAAAATTGTGACATTGGTTAATAAGATTATATAGGTTTCAAATGTACATTTCTATGACACATGACCTGTATATTGCATTGTGTGCCCACCACTCAAAGTCAAAATAATCTTCCGTCACCATATATTTGGCCTCCTTTACCTTTTACTACCCCACCTAACCCCTTCCCTCTGGTAACCACTGTACTGTTGCCTGCATCTATGAGTTTCATTTTATATCCTACATATGAGTAACAGCATATGGTTCTTAGCTTTCTCTGATTGACTTATTTTGCTTAGCATTATATTCTCAAGATGCATTTATATTGTCACAAATGACAGTATTTCATGTTTTCTTATGGCTGAATAGTATTCCATTGTATATATGTACCACATCTTCTTTATTGTACTCTTGAATTTTAATGCACTTAATAGGGCTATTAGAGTTCTAAAGCTGTAGAGAATCTTATAGTTACATATCCTAGGGATGAAAAAGAGGTTTCCTCTAGGTGCTAACTACATTAGTGTGTGGTAGCTGCATGGGTTATTGTCTTGAGTAGTATTCTGTTACAAGACTTATTGATTAGTGACATTTCCTACAGGCAAATGAGGGAGAAGTGGAGGACATCCACTTATTTGCTTTCCTTGATCTAGTTAATCATTTGATTTTCCAGGTGAGAAAATTAAGGTCCAGAAAAGTAAGGCAACTTGCTCCAAGTTAACATCAGTGCTGCAGCAGAACCAATTTTTATTTTTTTATTTCTAGCCCTTCCTTCACATCTGGTCTCTAGATTTCTTACTGAGATAAATTACAAATCCCAGCCCAATGATTTACTACCTTTCAAATTTTAACTCATTTTCAAGGTTAACTTCCTGCCTTGGATCACAAGCATAAATAAATCTATGTTTGCCATCTGAGAACACAGCATGATCACAGGAAATAGTCTTCAACATCATAAAGCTATCATATAAAATGCAGTGACAAGTGCACCCCCTAAAAGGTCAATGTTATAAGTAGTAGGGGCCACTGTCAATCAGCTTAAGCATTGCAGGAGGAGGAGGAATTGTGAGTAGGACAACAGAGATATCATCTGCAATATCATTATGAGCCATATTTGGCTTGAATCTACACAAATGGTTGCAGAATACTTGCAAAAACTTTTGTCTCAGCATGAATAGGTAAAGAATGAAATCGAGTAAACATCTTTACATGTCCTAGTCATAGTGCTAGGAACTGGAGATAAAGTGGTAAACAGAATGATGTAGTCCCTATGTTTGTGGTTATTACTTTTATGTGAAGAAGTCAGGCATTGAACAATGATGTGAGCATTTCAAAAGAGGATGTATTAGTAACTTATGGGAGGAGTGAGTAACCTGATTATCACAAAATTTTGGCACCTGGTACTCAGAGACAGACTATAGAGATCAGTTTGTGATAACTTTCTATAAGGAAATTGGATATCCAAAAACAAACACTAGATTGCTTTGAAAAACCTACCAGCTTAATATTCACAAATTGGCATTTTTAAATAAGTGAATACAAACAGAGAAGACAAATTAAAATTGAGTAATAACTGCTTGCATCCTGATCTACACTGGTTATTAAAAAAAACACAACAGACCTTTAAATTAGCATGTCTCCTGATGTCTAAAAGATGCTTATCATGCACTAGATGCTTTTCCACTTGCTTCACAGATCAGTTTAAACATATCTAGTAATCAGGATTCATTATTTTTATTCACTTAAAAAGTCAGAAGTACCTTTTCTCACTATTTTGAAGGAAAAGTATAATACCATTCATTAGGATATTTATGGATGTCTTAAGGTGTGCTTTAATAAACAGGATATCATTTATGACTTATCAAAAGGTATGCCTTGGAGTCTCTTACTTAATCTCTAAATTCAGCTGACTTTCCCCATTTCTCTAACACTGAGCATAGCAAAAGGAGATGCTCTTGATTAGCCAAGAGCCACTGCTGCTCATACACCAACATATATTGAACTCAGGGTTGGGGAACTGTGAAATCACCCAAATACAGCACTTCTAGATGAAAACTGCTCTGAAGATGTTTCATCTTGAAAGGTAGAAGGAAAGTGAGCAGTCCTTATAATTTCATAAAATTTAGAAACCAGTCTTGGGCATATTACATGACCTATAAAATACCTTTTGTACAATGTTTATATATTAAGAAGCAAGAGAAAGAAGTTGTTGGTATAAATTAGAACACTACAAAAATGCTGAGTCTGAAAATTTGAAATAGGATTTTAATTTCCTTTTTTATAACTTTATTGGAATATAATTGAAGAAAAAGAAACTGCACTTATTGAAAGAGTACCACTTGACCATTCTGGACATATGCATATGCCCATGAAACCATCCCCACAACCAAGAGAATAAATATTTTCATTCTTCTAAGTTTTCTTATCCCTGTTTAATCTATTCCTCCCTCTGTCTCTAGGCAATTATTGATCGACTTTATGTCAGTATATGTGAACTTGCTCTTTTATATTATAAAACCAGAATTGTTCAGTATCTTGGGGGGGGGGTTGTAAGCTGGTTTATTTCATTTAGATTAATATTTTGAAAGACTTTAATATTTTGAAAATATGTTTTTTTTTACTAAGCAGTATTCTATTGTATGAAAATCCCACTATTTGTTTATCATTTATCTTAAAAATATTTTTATTGATTTCAAGGAAGAAGGGAGAGGGAGAAAGAGATGGAAACATTAATGATGAGAGAAAAACATTGATTGGCTGTCTCCTGCATGCCCCTCATTGGGGATCAAGCCTGCAAGCCCAGCATGTGCCCTGACTAGGAATTGAACCTTGACTTCCTGGTTCATAGGTTGACGCTCAACCACTAAGCCATGCCGGTTGGCATCATTCGCCTTTTGATGGATATTTTGTCCCACTGCTTCAAAAATTATTTTATTTTCTGAAATTATTTCTGCCTGGACAGAAATAGGAGTCTCACCTAGTGATACAAAACTTGTCTGTCTGGCGGATCGGGCATGGAATGGGTGGAGACCTATAAATTCAATCATAACCACTGACAATTTTCTACATTGTTATTAACATATTCAATAAGCACTGGTGCTTGAGACTGAAATTTAAAAACAATATTTAAATTCACAAATATAAATTTAAAAACTGATACTTTGTAACAAACAGCAAGTGCTGTTTGGGAACTCTAGCACACTGTTGGTCACAATGCAGACAGGTACAGCCACTGTGGAAAACAGTATGAAGTTTCCTCAAAAAATTAAATATGGAACTCCCTTTTGACCTAGTGATCCCACTTCTAGGAATATATCCTAAGAACCCTGAAACACCAATCAGAAAGAATATATGTGCCCCCCCCCCATGTTCATCCCCCAGGTTAGCAGTGCTATTTACAACAGTCAAGATCTGGAAATAGCCAAAGTACTCATCAGTAGATGAGTGGATTAAAAAAGCCATGGTACATTTACACCATGGAATACTATCTTACCCTTTGCTACAGCATGGAGGGACCTGGAGAATAATATTCTGAGTGAAATAAGCTGGTCAGAGAAAGACAAATATCACATGATCTCACTTATAAGTGAAATCTAATGAACATAATAAACTGATTAACAAAATAGGTCCAAAAGCAGGAAGCCATGGAACAGACTGACATATCTCAGGGGAAAGGGGTGAGATGGGAAGAGATTATCCAAAGAAATTATATACATATATGCATAACCAATGGACACAGACAATAGAGTGGTGAAGACCTAGAGTAGGGCAGGGCCTCGGAGCAGGGGGGTGGGGAGTGTGGGACATCTGCAATGCTGTCAACAATAATAAAAAAAATTAAAAAAAGAAAATCCTGCCACCCACTGGCCTTAACATCCCCCTTGTAGAATGAGGACCATCAAGGTACCTACCCTGTGAGGACAACACGTTAAGATACTTAAATTTTCATCTGGACTGACACTTGAATTTAAACCTGGGCTCTACCTGTTCCCACTGAGGGATGCCTCAGTTTCCCCCTCTGGAAAGAGAAAGAGTTTCTTTTCTGACACCCACGGGGGCTGTTTTGAGACTCAGCTTCTTCCTATAATGGCCCCCATTTGTTAAGCTCTCTATGTGCCAGGCTCTGGCTGTGCCTGCTCCGTGTACCTGTTTGCTCATCGGAGAAATGGAGCTAATAGGTAGAAAGATTCCAACCAGAACACATGGGTGGAGCTCCCTGCACGATGCCCAATGCTAAAAGCCAGTGAGCTGTGGTGAGCCCAGCCCTTCCAAATCCTGTCATCACAGTGGTTGCTATTTAACGCATCTAGCACTGGTCTTGCACACAGCAGGTGCTCAATAAATACCCTCTTTGGAATTAAATAAACCTGGATCTAATCCTGGCTCTAAGGCCTTGGACACCTCGCTTTCTCCTCCTGGCCCTTGGTTTGCCCATCTGAGAAACGGGCTCAGCATGGGCACTGGGCAGGAGCAGCACCCGGCACCCAGCAGAGCCTAAGACTGACTGAGTGGCCAGGATGGCAAGTGCTGGGCAAAGTGTTCGTACTTAGGCAGGGTGGCAATGACCTCACTCCCTGGCAGGTCACTGGACCAACCTGCCCTTCAGATTGTGACACCCCTCCCCCACCCATGACCTCACCCCCAGTGGCCAGTGGAACCCTGAGGGGTCTGTGAGGTCACGCCATTCCGCTTCACAAAGATTCTCCTGGGGCAGCAGCCACTGGCTGTCTCCGTCAGGGGGAAGCTTCAGAGACCCTGCGACGCGGGAGCCGTGGTCAGGAAGAAGCCCCTGAGAGGGACACGGAGCGCTGGGAACCAAGGACACTCCAAGTGCTGCCCCCGGGAGGCCAGAACCAGGGGCAGAAGTCTCCTGGGCGTGCGGAGTGTCATTCAGCAGGTCCGGGAGGCCCACTGCCAACAGGCCACCATGGTCCTTGGCTGGGTACTGCTCCTGGTGATGGCTCTGCCCACGGTCATGACAGGCGCCATGGACTGCATCTTCTGTGAGCTGACCGACTCCTCCAACTACCCTGGCATCCCCATGACCTGTGGCGATGACAAGGAGTGCTTCATGGGCAAAGGGATGGCCCCAGGCCTCGGCCCCATCATCAACAAAGGCACCATGGACATCAGTTTATACGGTCGCCTTGAAGAGCCTGTAACCTACCAGGGCATCACCTACAGCCTCACCTTTACCTGCCATTATGGCGAACTGTGTAACAGGGCCCCCACCCCCGCAGGCAGCCTGAAGGCAGCTGCCACCTGCCTGGCGCTGGGCGTGCTGCTGCTGCTGCTTCATTGACTGTGACCAGCGTGGAGGGCAGGGCCTGGGATTGGTCTCAGGGCTCCTCTGCTTCTTGTGACCCCTCCCCTTCCCCCCACCCCCTGAAATGACCAGAGGCCCTAGACAAAAGCAATAAAATAATAATGATGATAAAGCTGTACAGTACTTTTTCATGGGAATGATAGTGTAATACACTTTAGATATAAGTAATAGTTATCATGCTGTTATAGCTAAGAGGAGTGACTAGTTGAGGCAATTATCTGGATTATCTAGGACCAGAGGCCAGATTTCTTTAAACTGTGAATGGTGATGGCTTAAAAAAATACAGGGCATAGTTAGCTGAACTGCATGTAGATTTAAAAAGTTATCTTTATTGTTGAAAGTATTACAGATGTCCCTCTTTTTCCCCCATTGACTCCCACCCCCCACGCCTCCCCTTTAGGCGAACCGCACTATTATCTGTGTCCACAGGTTACACATCCCACCCTCCCTCCCCTCTTCCCTCTGGAATTAGCTCCAAAAATTAAAAATATAACTGCCATATGATCCAGCATTTCCATATCTGGAAATATATCCAAAGAAACCCAAAATACTAATTTGAAATTATATATGTACCCCTATGTTTAAAGCAGCATTATTTACAATAGCCAAGATTTGGAAGCAGCTTGAATGTCCATCAGTAGATGAGTGGATAAAACAGCTATGGTACATTTACCCAATGGAATACTACTCAGCCATAAAAAAGAAGGAAATTTTATCCTTTGTGACAGCATGGACAGACCTGGAGAACATTATGCTAAGTGAAATAAGCCAGTCAGAGAAAGACAAGTGCCATGTGATATCACTCATATGTGGACTCTAATGAACAAATTGAACTAACAAGCAAAATAGAGACAGACTCATAGATAGAGAGCAGGCTGACAGCTGTGGGGGTTGGGGGATCTGGGATGTGTACAGGAGTTGAGCAAAAAAAAAAAAGGAGAGCGATAACTCATTGGACACAGACACAATATTGTCATTGTGGGGGGGGAGGGATGTTGGTGGGAGCTGGAAGAGGGTATGGGGGATAAATGGTGATGGAAAAAAATAGAAATAAAAACTGATACTTTGCTCAGTTATTGAAAAACTTCAGTATGTTTGGCACACCTTGGTTACATGAATTTGCTTTTTTCAATGTAAATTTTATATCTAAAAACAAATCAAGTATTTCCAATGAAAATATAGTGTCTGTACTGAGATGAGGTGTAGTTGTAAAATACATACTAAATTTCAAAGACTTAGAACAGAAAAATGCACAGATGATGTCATCAATGTATTTTTATTGATTACATATTAAAATAATAATATATTGGATTTAATAAATATATTATTACAATTAATCTCACTTGTTTCTTTTTATTTTTAAGAATGTGTCTACTAGAAAATATAAGATAACATATGTGGTTTGCATTGTATTTCTATTGAACAACACTATTTTGGACATTGTGTGGACATTGTGAATACACAGTTGAACATCCCCTTAGGAATTTTATAGAATGGTGATAAACCCACTGCTATGGCAGGAAGAGATAAAAGTCATTCACAGGACACTATGGGGACATAGATGAGTAGCAACTAAATCAGACTGTTTTAAGTCAAAGACGGTTTCCAGCAAAAAGAGATGGAAACTTGAGCTGACGTTTGAAGTTCGAGTATGGATTGGATGAAGAAAGAAGAAAGTATTTCAAGGAAGAGAGAGTGGCATGTTCAATTTCATTGGGAGAAGCAGTATAATACAATGACTAATCCAGCATCCTCATCCTTCGGGTCATACTCAAGCTGTACCACTTACTAACTGTAGGGCCTCAGGCAAGTTACTTAACTTCTCTGTATATTTCTTCCTCTGTGAAATGGGGATAATACTATTGCCTACTTCCTAAGGTTATTATGAGAAATGAATGATCTAATATACTGGCCAGAACTGTGTCCAATGCCACATCAGTGTTTGTTGCTATCATTGTGAATTAGAAAAAGCAATAATTCCACTATGGTCGGAATCAAGGATTTATGCAAGGGAGTCGTAGGAGATGTGGCTACAGAGGAGACCAGGCATTAAGCATTCACCTAAGAAGTTTGAACTTTGATCCTTGGAGCAGTGGAGGATAAGTCACATCAGGCTGAAGGGTAGCAGAACTTAGGGGAACTAAGGCTCTAGGTAAGAGATGAGAGGCCAAATCAACAAAACTATTGAGAAGCCACTTTTCAAAAGAGGACATACAGAAGGCCCAGAGACATATGAAAACATGCTCAAAGTCATTAATCATCTGAGAGATGCAAATCAAAATGACAATGAGGTACCATCTCACACCTGTCAGAATGGCTATCAACAAATCAACAAACGACAAGTGCTGGAGAGGATGTGGAGAAAAAGGAACCCTCTTGCACTGCTAGTGGGAATGCAGACTGGTGCAGCTACTGTGGAGAACAGTATGGGGTTTCCTCAAAAAGTTAAAAATGGAACTTCTATTTGACCCAGTAATCCCACTTCTAGGAATATATCCCAAGAAACTAGAAACACCAATCAGAAAGGATATATGCATCTCTATGTTCATAGCAGCACAATTTACCATAGCTAAGATTTGGAATCAGCCTAAGTGCCCATCAGCAGATGAGTGGATTAAAAAACTGTGGTACAGACTACTTGGAGAGAGAGAAGATGGTGACCGGCAGGAAGGTAGGGAGGGAGAGAGTGTGAGAGCGCGAGGGAGTGACAGAGGAGTGTGTGGACATGTGTGGTGTATGTGTGTGTATGAGCTAGGGACAGTTAGATTCTGCAGGTCTTCTAAGGGGCTGCTAAACTGGGCAGTCTTAGACAGTGGAGCCCCGCTCCCAGCGCGGACACTCCTGGGCAGCCAGCGTGGGCACAGAGACCACGCCATCTTGAGAAACAGAGCTGCTTGAGACTAGGATCCTGGCCTCAGCATCACCCAGTCCGGTCTCAGACGCAAACCAGGACCCTGCAGCCACTGGGGACAGAGACCTGGGACCACAGCTACAGACCCACGGACACCAAGAATCCAGACATCCCCGCGGCAGATCTCTGTGAGTAACAGAGCTCATCCCCCTCCCTGCAGGCTCGCGGGCAGCACCATAGTAACTGATAGACCTACCCCTTGCCCGGGCCTCAGTGCTGCTACAGGAACCTTAGCCTGGAAGCGTGCGAACACTGGGAACTTGTCCCGCACAGCACAGGCTATAGGAACCTTAGCTTGGGAGCTAATGCGTGAACACTGGGAACTTGTTCCTCCCAGCACAGGCCCCAGGACCCCGATTCTTCGGGCAGGAGGCAGCACCAAGCACCAGTGACTTGACTGTGTTTCTTATCACCTGCTCCTGGGATCCCTGATTCCTGTGCATTCACACTAAGAGCCAGTGACTCCAATTCTTGGTGCATGTGCACACAGGGACCCTGATTCTCAATGCGAGGCCGCGTGAAGCAACAGAGACTCTGATACTGGATTCTTGGGGCCTGCATACCGGGTACCTTCCTCTACAAAGCTGCTCCCGTCCGTGCAGAGCAGGGGTCCTCAAACTATAACCCGCGGGCCACATGTGGCTCGCCAAAAACATTTATCCGGCCCACCAGGTGTTTTTGCCACCGCTGTGTGCATAGGAATTTGTTCATAGTTTTTTTTAAACTATAGTCCGGCCCTCCAACGGTCTGAGGGACAGTGAACTGGCCCCCTGTTTAAAAAGTTTGAGGACCCCTGCTTTAAAGTGTACATGTCGGTGGTTTGTACTGTGTTCAGAAACTTATGTAACTGTCACCAAATCAATTTTAGAACATTTTCTCACCCCCAAGGAAAATTCTAGTATCTATTAGCATTCCTCCCCATCCTCCCCTCCCCACAGCTCATGGCTCCCACCACTCTACTCTCTAGCTCAATGATTTTGTTTATTCTGGACACTTCATAGCAGTGGAATCCTACATGTGGTAATTTTCTGTGACTGGCAAATTTCACCTAGCATAATGTTTCCAAGGATCAGCCATGTGGTAGATTATGTCAAAACTTCCTTTCCTTTGGCCAAATAATGTTCTTTTTGTGTGCATATACCACATTTTTTATTAGATACATCAGCTGATGAAAATTTTGGTTATTTCTACTTTGGGACTATTGTGAATAATATTGCTATGGACATTTGAGTACAAGTTTTTGCATGGACATATGTTTGCATTTCTCTTAGGTAGATACTTAGGAGTGGAATGTTTGGTCATGTGAGAACTCTACATTTATCCTCTGGAGGAATTGGCCAACTATTTCCAAAGCATCTACACAATTTCACATTCCTGCCAGCAATGAGTAAGGATTTCATTTTCTTATCATCATCACTAATATTTGTACCCCAATCAGGTATCAAACTCGCAACCTGGGTATGTACTCTGACTGGGAATCAAACCTGAAACCTTTTTGGTATAAGGGATGATGTTCCAACAAATTGAGTAACCTGGTCAGAGCAAGAAGTATTTCATTTTTTCTTTTAATTTACATTACTGAATTAAATAAATTTTTATAAGATACAAAAGTTATCTATTTTTAAGGGTTCACTTAGTGAGTGGCATTAAGTGCATTCATAATGTTGTGCTACCTTCACTGCTAGCCATCTTCAGACTCTTCTTTTTGTAAAACTCAAACTCTGTATTCATTAATCTATAAATCCCCATGGCTTCCTTCTCCCCTACCCTAGGAGCTGTCATTCTACATCTGTCTCTATAATTTTGACTACTCTGAGTACCTCATACAGTGGAATCATACAGTATTGGTCTTCATGTGACTGGCTGATTTCACTTAGCACAGTGTCCTCAAGGTTCATTCATGTTGTTATATATTGTTATATATTGTAAAATTTCCTTTCTTTTAAGTGGTGAAAACATTCCATTGTATGTACATACCATACTTTGCTCCATCCACTCATTTGTCAATGGATACTTTATTGTTTTTGTTTAGTTTTTAAATTAATAAACTTGATAGTTCTATGAT